TGTTTATAACGTGTTTGTTGCACAACTGAACCATTAAGAAAATGATCCTTTGGTAACTCACATTTTCGACCAAGACCAATAGACTTACTTTCATGTGTTGACTTTCTATTTGAAAATACGAGGGTGTGGCTTTGGTCTTGGGAAAGCTAGCAGCTGAATCGAAACCCACACCCACACCCTTTCGCCAACGAAAATTTGGGAGGGGAGAACAAATAACTGCATGGTCATGTGAAACACGATGCATCTGCTACCACTAGTTACCGGAAGATTGTTTTATTCCATCTATTTTGGGACATACGCCTTCGCCATCATTTTGCTTAGTTATTAAAAATGCTATAAGGACTTAGTTCATATATTGGACGGAGGCGTTATTGATGTACTGTCTTTGGTTATATATCAAACACTATCTGTCATAGACTGTAGGGAGGGACAGAGATAGAAGTTTCTACCCTATATACTCATCATTCCTTTTAGATCGTGTTTTAAAAAAATAGGTAAAAGGATTATCAATAAAACATTGATGAATATCGAATTTTTTATAATTTATAATCAAGATCATCGTTGTCAGTTGTATCGAGCAGTCTGATATATCGATAACAAAAATAATGCAATCTTTTTGATAACTGTTAAGATTCAAAAGACCGTCAAAATATTCTTGTTTTGCTTGAATTGAAATGTTTTCATTTTCTACTGATGTGGCTCTTTTATGACGTTGTCGAACGTTGTTGAATTTGTACTTGTTCAACTCGAACCAGTTTTGATTTTTCTGACTCCCAGATATATCTCTTCCAGGCTCAGAGATTTAGACGAGATCAACAATGAGAATTTCATTGACCATGGTAAGTTTTTTGCATGGCTCTTAGCTTTTAGCTGCATCCAAACCACATCCCATTCCACATCGCATCCACACCTTTAACAACATGTTTCTGCAAAAAAGAGCGTATTTTTCTCTGAAAAATACCTTTAGAACATTTATTCTTAATATTAACTATCTATCTATGAGAATATTAAAGATATTTAAATGAACAATTAGTCTAGAGACACTGTGCAAGGACATGCCCTTTTATTCCGGAGGAAAGGTTATCAAAATGCAGTTTAGTCGAGACTTTGGATGAAATGATAAATCATTAGTATATATTAATGACAATATTACTTGAGAAACAGAACCTGTCACTGATGATCGATGTTAGACACCTGAACATTAGATTAAGAAGAAATCTCAACCCACATAATAGAATGATGAATTACAGTTCTTTTATTTAATATGAGTGTTCATTATGCTTATTGTAAGAAATTGTATGAGCATGTCTAAAATAAATATTCTTTCACTCGTCCAGTTTACAGACTTGTCACATCATAATGTAGTGCATGAGCTCTTACCCACACCCACGCCGATATCCACTCCACACCTCACTCTTTTTCACTGATGCATGCGTATTTATTAGTAACAAATCGAAGTGAGTTGTCACACTCTCGTTGATTGAAGTGTACATACACAACTATGCAATTCCTTCAAACAGACAAAACACTTATTGTACAGCGCTATGTCAATCTAGCAAAGAAGTTAGTTAAAGACTACTCATATTTTTCTGATAAAAATTATCAGGCCGTAGTGATTATGTTTTATTGAAAATTTGCCGTTGCATGTACATAACAACAAAGTTTTCCTCTATGAAATCATTCAATATTGGTCTCCTAACTATTTGAAGTGTTATTTTTGCCGTAAGAATTAGTATTGATAAATGTGAACACAACTTGGAACTGATTCGGCTTAATTTTGTGATTCACCCAAATCGCGCGCTTGTTGAATGAGCCCATTGGGGCCCTCAAGTATTTGAAGACGTTCACGAAGCGGAGCACGATTATGTAAAGCATCTACAGCGTTTGCATGGGTTTCCAGCGTTTGAGCAGTTACAAAACACTTTCGTGCGCTGTTTCCATCGCGCAATGTCATATAACTCCCTCCCAACTTAATGATATCCTTTGACATATCACGAGTGAGGTGGACGAGAAGATCAAACTCATGATCGAGAATTTTCATGATATCCTCGTAGCCGTGATCAAGAGCCCATTCGACTAAACGTTGAACATAACCACAGAAAATATAGAAAAAATAAACACGTGAATATTCGGAAACAATGTTGGGGATGATTTCTTCTCCGAGTGTACCAGATGAGATCAAAATAATTCTTTTACTCGTCTCGTACTGAATTAGAGCCAATGCATCTTCACTGGTTGAGACAAATTCGATCGGAGCGACATTTTCCTCAAAACAACAAATAAGTTCATTGATCTGATTGGGTGGCATAGCGCCAACTGGTTGAAGAGTATCTTGAAATTGTTTCTTCAGAGTCATATATTGTCCCATAACTCCAATATGTGTGTCCAGCCAGATGATACGAAGACCATTTGCCAGAGCCATCTTCAATAAAATGATGGTATTCTACTTATTAAAAGTAAACTATATTATGTATCGTGAAGTGGCAGAGCTTTATATAGAAAACATATACTTTTAAGCGAAACACGTTGAAGAATTTCGGCGAAATTATATTCTCTTTTATAACAACTGTCAGTTTTTCAGCGAAAATATTAAAAAATGTATAATTACTAAAAGTAATAAAAGGTAAAGAAGTATGGACTCCTTTTCTTTTTTTTCTTTTTCTGTTCTGCAAGTTGGATATAAGCGAGAAAAGACCTGAAGGAAGAAAGATGTTAGTCAAAACATCGATAGAAGTGGTACAACACAGTGTTGATTTATGATTAAAATTTTTCATGAAGAAATTTGTGTGAACTTCTCAGTGGAATGATCAGATCTTATTGTACCACATATGTTCGAAAACTTTAAAACCGTTTCTACAATAAGCTTTTTTTTGCGTCACCCTTGATTTGTAACAGTGATCGCAAGGGAGAATTTTATTTTTCTTTCTTTTTCTTTCTGTGGTTTTTGTCTGTTCTCTTGTTTGAAGTGCGTAGTATATTGCTGAATCGGTTTAACGTGGCTTGTAGAATATTTGGTGAAGTTTTTCAGCCTTTTTACACCGTTCAAAATCATATAGATATAGTTCTGCAGCAGATGCATCATAACAATTGTTTCTATATTCATGAATCGGAATGAGAAAGCAATATTCAAACAAAGTTGCCATTGCCTAGAATTACCGCAAAACATTTGTTTCTTCATTCAAAGAACACATTTGCTTTTTAATAGCTTTCTTGACCCTTTACGCACCACCACTAATCCAGCAGAGCTGCTATTGATTCAACTACAAAAATACATCATATGAGTGCTCAATATGACTTTCCTATGGTTAAATTCGAGCGAAGTCATTTCGCAGTGTAGATATAAAATTAGTCAAAAATGACCCATTGCTGTTGAATAACATAAAAATTCGACTGTTCACTAATTTGGCTTATTTCCTTGACTGCATATTTGTTTATCTATATCAAGCTATAAATCTTTTGCTATTAAGAGTCGTTTACAAGAAAAAAACATATATCTCAAAATAGTACGTGATAATGTATTGTCATCAGAATCAAAATTTACATTAAAAAATAGCAAAAAAAGTCAATGTTCGTATGTCAAATATATCTGTTAACTTTTACAATGATAGTTTTTAAAATAATTACGTATTGCGCTAAATCATAAATAGACAAGTCACTTGTATCACTTTCACTCGAACCATAATTGGTATCCAAATTATATAAAACATTTCAATCCGATGGAATTGTTGAGTTACTATTTTGAGACAGTATTTAAAAAAGGTAACCTAATACAATTGAATAAGATAGAAAAAATCGCAAGATAAAGAAACGACAGCAAAAAGAAATGGTAAGTTACATATGTATGTCAAATAAATATGAAGGACACAAAGGGTGTGGGTGTGGGTGTGGGTTGTGTGGGTGTGGGGTGTGGGTTGTGTGGGTGTGGGGTGTGGTGTGTGGGTGAGGGTGTGATTGTGTAATATCTCTTTATCCCCCCCCCCCACCCACGCCTGAATATTCTACAAGGAAAAGCTTTTCAAATTTTTATTACAAAAAAAA